GAAATTGTGGTGGGGTAGTATTCATCATCATAATCCTGGATGAACCGGTAGAGTTTTAATTTACCATATGACAGGAATTTTTTATATACTGTCATACCGCTACAGTCAGTATATAGTGGTTGTACAGCTTTTTTTTTTATATTTTGTTTTGAAAAGGAAGCAAGGTTAAAGTTGGTGGCATATCTTTTTTGGGTTTATTTTGTTCTGGTTTTACAACTAAACTTAAAATACAGATTGTTCACATTCTGCAACTGTTTCATGCATTCTATTCTATATATTGTATCATTTTGTGGGGCCAAGAAAACCCTATAGTAATCAAAGCCTTCAGTATATACATGATGACAACAACTCACAACCTGTAAAGCTAAATAAAGGGCTAGTCATGCAAAAAAAAATAGCAAATAGCTTTGCAGTAAGAAAATACAGCCTGCATTATCTCACTTGTGATTGTCTTTTTAAATTCTTCTGTTGTTTAGGCAGTAATGCATCCTCATAGTTGTTGCATGTTGAGTCATAGTCTGCTGTTTTTGTTTGACAAAAGTGAATGAGATGCTATGTAATAGCATGTGACACAGCTTCTGTTCACACAGCTGATCCTAATACTCTGGCCTCTGTAGGCCTTCCCCCCTTAAATACATCCAACATGTATTTGTTGTAAAGCTAGTAATTAGTTTAGAGGAAACCTAGGGTTAGGACATACAAGCAAACGTAAGCTGGTAGTGAAAACACTTCAGTTGACTTACTGATCTGATATAACTTGATATATGATAAGATTTCTTGTTGCGGGGAGCTTAAGTAACTTTAATTAAAAAAATCGAATTTTAGGCCATTCGATGTTACCTCACCATTTAAAATGGCTGTGTTTAAGAATAGCACTATGGTACTGTTCCTGCCCTTCATTCAAGTATTCTTAAGGCTCAGTTACTCGCGGTCATGAGTAACTCATGAGCTCATACAGCTCAGAAAAGATATCATCTCCCTGTGTCTCAGCAGGAATGGTATGTGGTCTAACATATCTGTTTCCTTTACAACCCGATCTTACACATCTATGGTTCTTTTTCTTTTGTTTACTATTGATTCTTTTGTAGTTTTGTTTTGTATAAAGACCAGAAAGAAAGTAAATGAACATTAAAGTAAATATGTCATAAATAATAATAAAGGTAAAGTAAGTAAATATGAACATTTCTGTTAAGTTTTATAGCGTCAGACATTACATAAGTTGAGTGCATGTGGCTTCTGAATGGGTGTACTAAACTAACGTCGTATCTCTGTGATTATAGAGAGAGATGTGTGTTTGTGTAGAATTCAGGGTTCAGGAGTTGACCGGCTCTTACTTGTTTCTCTTATCTCTTGCCGTAGCACTCACTGTGTGGGGTTAGTGTCATCATGTTCTTCATTTGGACTTATTTTGGTATATGTCAGTCCCTTCAACAATTAGTCACCAGAAGTAGATCGCCTGACACTGTACCACGCAGCACTAGCATAGCCCCATTTCCTTTTTCTCATTCTTGTCAGATTTGTCATTCTAGCCTGTGTAGTGATGGAGAATGCCCTCTGATTTGTTTCAGGTGAAGTGGTCAGACTCTTCTTCAAGCAGTGTGACCAAAACCCATATGGAACTGGAGAATTTCCTTCTCAAGGTACCCATTTTTGTTGAACTTGTTGAACCATTCCAGTGCAATGACAAGATATATACAGGTTATAGGTCCTGCAACCAGTCACGCAGAAGATAAACTGAACTGCAGTCTCTGCCAATGATTTCACACTACCTAGGAATTCTGGATTTATGCTGCTGCAACTCCAAAGTGTTAAATGTTGAATTAGTAAAAGAGACATTAGGAAATCAATTGTGTGAAATATATAAAAAAACCTAAACCTAAAATAATGGAAGATATGATTACAACTAATTTTCAATTTCATTGTGAACATTTTTATTTCAGAATGTCCTTTTTTATTAAAGTCTGTTTTTATTTTATAATGTTCATGACAGTGTGTCATGAAAAGGCTATATTGAACCGCCATGTTTTCACAGTAGCCCAGAAGGGACAAACCAAATCCTTGCTCTAAATAGGGGTGTTTGAGTTTATGCGCATTTCACGCCCACGCAGTAGTTTTCTCCCGCGTATCTTTGGAACGGAAGGGTGAAGGCAACAGGAGTGAATCGAGGCTACTACGCCGTAGATGTCAGCGTACCAATCGGTACACCCACTGGACTTTAAGCTAACAAGCTCAAAAACAGCTACCAAATTAGCCCATTTAGCTCACAGCCTCACCTTGCTAGTTAGCCTGCTAGGTACATAGAATGAGCTGCCTTGTTAAGCTGATAAAATGAGGTGTTCATTTCTGTGTCCCGTGTTTCTTTACAGCAGTAACTACATAGTTGATTCAGAATGACTTTGGCATTGTTGTTGCTTTAGCTAACAAGTGCTAATAAGCTTAATTTGGTAGCAGTTGTTGAGCTTGCTAGCTTAAGAGGCAGGGCGCCATGATTGGTCATGAAAAGTGACTTGAAATAAAAAATTAACTCCAAGTAGAGTTTTAATAATTTCTAAAATGATTTTGCAAATTTACATATTTTACACAGTTTATTCATGTGATTATTTATTTTATCATTACTAATATTTATGTTTTATTGAACACCTTCATAGTTGCATTAATGCTTCTGTCTTCATTTATGAACATGATCAGAATGTGCCACAATGTCTGGAACATGAGTCATTTACTCTAGCTAAATTGAATTAACTGTTAACAAACAGGGACGTATTATTGCATGCATAACTGTTGAATCTGCAGAACTACGGTACTTCACTATAATACTGTTTGGCCACACATTTTACCTAAAAAAACTGCAGCTTCTAAGATTTGCATATTGCCATTTCAATAATATATATTCATTGTGCAGCCCTATTTTCCAAGTCAGAATGTGTGCTGTGAAAAAGGCCCATTTGGCTATTTTACTGCCTTAATAAGAGTAAATAAATACAGCCAGAGAGAATTAGTGTGGAATGATTGCCAAGACACTGATGGCAGTACGGAAGTTTAATTTAAAATGACAAGAGGGGGAGATTTACTTGTACAAAAGCAGTCTTGTTTTTTATAAATTCTATTTTAATAATGGCTTTGACAATCCAGCCTCGCTACAGTGAACAGATTTGTTTTCATTCATCACCTCCAGCAATGTGAAGTACATTGTAAAAGTATGAACTCTGAATTGATCGGCCCAAGTGTAGAAGCCAGTTTCTCAGTGTATCCTCCCCTGTTTCTCTCTGCAGCTTCCTAAGGATCAGTGTACTGAGTCTTTTGAGAAGAGCATCCTGAGGCTCTTGAACCAGGGGGACCAGAGTGAGAGCAGGGATGTGGAGAAGAACCTCAGGTACTTTACATTTAACCCAGATGTGCACCTGATGTGTCAAATAATGGGGGATATAGCAAGACTACAATACTTTTCCATTCATATGAATCTATATTAATCGTTATTATAATGATTCTGGCCTTAGTATTTGAAGGGTATTCTCAAAATTACTATAACCTGAAGACATTTGAGGGTTATTTAGAATGCATTGTGAACTTTCTTTTAAAACCCAAATAATGGAACTGTATAAACATTGATTTCTTTTAGCGAGGTTCAGTGGCCAGTCATCTCGCTCTGTTAAACATATTCATGGCTAGATAGAGTTCAGATCAATCTAATTTCGGTTCCATCTGCGAAACACAATAGACTTGTCTGGACTCTATGCTGTCGCTTGCCCCTCTCTGGTGTTCACGCCAAATAAGATCACATGAAAACACTGCAAACTGCAGCCTTGACCGAGGACAAACCGCAGTCCTGACTGTGGTCATTTCATTCTGTTATTCTGAGTTCTCCGAGGATAAGAGGTCAACATCTGTCTCCTTTTACCCGAAAACCTTCTTTTTTCGGGTCATTTCCTGTCTGTAATAAATCTGGAGTACATTCTTACACCGTACTGTGCCGCAGTTCACTGAGGAGGCAACCAAGACCTGTGCTTTCTGGCGTCTGGAAGCTGACAGTAGAATTCATTAAATTCAATTAAATGAAGCTCCCTGTAGATGTTCAGTAAGTACTGCAGTTACAGTGTGAATTAGCTATTGGCTGTCCCACAACATGACTTGTTGTGATTGAACATCTGCAGCCAGTGGGTGTTATTCATGCTAGTATTCTATATTGGTAGGAAGTTTATGAATAGCAGTACGGTTTTCAAGTTCTAACCCCCTGGATCGCCCAGTCAGACAAAACCAAGTCGACTGTGTCACTACTGGGGGATAACCACGCTTTATGTACGTTTTGGAACTGCTTTAAGGGATGTTAACAGGAAGTGTAATGTTGCCATGGATTCAGTGAGCTTGCTGACTACAACTTGATCTTTGCTTTTTTAAGCCTATATTTGTTTATATTTTGGCAAATTGGCACCATTAAAATTGGATGAATTTGTAATTAGCAGTTCCTGTTTGCAGTGTACCCATGGATGGCAGACAACTATCAGTGGATTGCTTTTATACTGAAGAACCTTGGGTGGATATCAGAGATAATAATATTGTTGGAAAGTGTATGAAAGTCTGTGAATCATGTCTGTGTGTTTAGATTTGAGTGTGCTCAATTGTGTGTGGTTTGAGCGTATTGATACTTTCACTGTGTTTATACCTCATATTTTGCCTATACCTGCACCTACCTGAATCAAAAATGGACATGGAAATATTTTTCTAAAATGTGGGAGCTTTAAAGTGTCTTGAGTATCTGAGCTGCTGCTGCTCATAAGTGAGCCAAACCAGTGGATCAACAATAACTAACTTCCTGTCATTTCCACTCATTGTCAATGGTGAATAAGATCAGCAGCAAAACTACCTGAACTCTGCAACAAACATGAGCTAAAGGAGGCAGAATCCATCATGCCTGACAATACCCACCCAGTGCACTCTGGGTCCCGCCGCAGACAACCACCAGCCAAAACTAACAGATATAAATTCTCTTTCATACCCTCTGCTGCTTCTCTGCTCAACTCTGAGGCTTTTCCCTTCCCTGTATTGCTGTTGTGTTGTTTTTTATTGCTACTGCAGCAAAATGAGTTGCCCCTCTGGGACTAATACTTGAACTTGAACTTTATACTGGAAAGTTCTGGAGCCATAAGGAGCGTGTATTTCTTTTAATATAATTTCTTGAGTAACTGCTGCTCCAACTGCTGACCATATCGGTGAGCGGGCCAAATCAGCACGTCAGACTACAACTAACTTCCTGTTGTGTTCAGAACAGAACAGCAAACACACGTCCCTTTCACCTCATGGAATAACTTTGCCTCATGTCTATTCCTCACAGTGTGAGAGTCTAAGATTATTATAAAAATAATAATATTACTAATAATAGTATTAACAATAAGTTTATTTATATAGAACCTGTTAGTAAGTGCTTTGACAGACAAAGCAAAATGATTGTTGTGAAACACAAATGTAATTAAATATAAAAATAAAGAAAAAACAATAAGAACAGAATAGAAGCCATGACAATAAAATGAAATACTAGTTGCCATCACATAAAGGCAAGTCTATAAAGTGGGTTTTAAGAAGTGATTTAAAAGAAGTCACTGAT